TCAAATTACTGCCAATAGTTTAAACATCTCCCTCAATCCAACCATTAAGAAAGTTGTTTAGCACAGGCCTACTGATAGATGGATGTGCTTCATCTTTACTTGCTTTTACTGTCTGCCCTCTGCTGGAAGTATACTGTCCCTTGAGATTTGATCAAAGGACACTTCACAGAAGTGGAGGCAAAAACCCTGGTTATCTGACAACTAGAAAAATGTATCCCTTTGTAATGGCCGAGTAAATCAATACAGTTGCTAACTGTTGCCATGCCCACTTCTCAGGTGTAAAAGGCATTTGTTTTTATTTAATTTTTTCTCTGCTCTGTGACCCCTGCCCCAGGACTTTAGAATACAGAAACCATAAATAATATATACAATTCAGAAAGTTGGTAATTTTGAATTATACAAACGCTAACCCAACAATACAGTGTTTTGATAATATTTCTATTTCTAAAGATGGAGAGAGTAGGATACGAGTGGGAAAGGGAGAGAAAATATTTTTCCATTTGGGAAATGACTGTCATCAATTTCTCCATATTTCAGAATTGATTCCCATACTTTAAATCACAAATGTGAATTGACTAAAGATCCGAAGTGTAATTTGATGCCCATATTATTAATATTAATTATCAAAAATCCCATTTTCTAGTTCTCATCTGAATCCTCTCCAGCTTCTCTACTTCGTTGTTGTTGCTGGTTCCAAAGAGGTGAGAACAATGAGATATGAATTCACAGCACAATTTAATATCAACAGAAGTGTGCTTGGAAAGGAAAGGGTTTGTATGCAAAGACACAAGTCTGAAATATTAAATACACACCGACTTCCTTTGTGGGGAACATTAACCCACGTGCACAAATTAGGAAAGTTAAAACCCTGACCCTCAATTTTAAGTACTGAAATAGCTATTCAAATATTCTCTTCAATATTTTCATTTAATGCAGATACCTTCTATATGATTTTATAAAGTTTAGTACCAGGATTCTCCCAGAGAGAGTTGTGACACCGAGGCTTTCCTTTCCAGGAGGCAACTTTATTCGAGCCAGCATGGCTCAGTTGGGTTCTTACGGAAGAACTAAGCCCCAAACACCATGTGGTGTAGTTTTTTATATATTCCAATCCTTTGTCTCCCATATATGGTAACATACAAACATGCAGTGTGATTAAGTGGTCTCCTGTTACAGGGTCCTGAGGGATATCACATAAGCTTACAGCCAGATTGCCTAGAGGTTTTTGGTTTTTTTCCTTCACATTCCTTAGGGAGGGACCCTACCACAGTTTCAATGCTGGTTTCTCAAAGTAAATGTTCCGAAAATGTAATTTTACCTGTGATTTGTTATAAAAAGTAGAAAATTCTTTTCTTTCTTTCTTTTTTTTTTTAAGAAATGTGGATTTTGTTAGGGTGATATTTATTTTCATGCAATCATGTATTTTAAATAATTCAGCAGGTTTTATCTGACTCTTTTAAGGGAAGATGAAGTTAGAGGTAAGAAAAATCTCCAATTTTAATGTAAGATATGAGGTATTTTGAGGGTCACACAAATTCAGTCAAATACTAACTGAGCTTTCACTCTCTGCCTTGCTCTAAAAGTTCAGGGGTTTTTTGTTTCTTTGTATTCTACTCATTCCATACAGAGAAAATTTGAAACCCATTAGATTCAAAGGATTCTAGACAATCATCAGGCAAAGTCCAAAAAATATTTAAGTGATCCCTACAGATGATATAACTAAGCTATACACATGAGGGTGATCCCTAAGTGCCAAAGTGAGAAAGGCAATTGCTTACGTCTGACTAAAAACCAGAAGCTTTAAAATCCATTTTGATTTAAAGATTAAATATAAAAATAATTTCTTTTAAAATTTGATGCCCCCATGAAAAGAAAAGTTGTTGAATAGAGCAAATACTAAACTATGCAAATCTATAAAAAATAAGAACTTCTAGAGAACCTAAATAATCAGGAAAGATTCAGTAAAAGTTAAATGTCTTGTAACTGAGACAGCTAGAAAATCCTCAACTTGCTCACATAATGAGAGAAGACAAGGTAACTATTAAGTAAGATAAAACAAGGCCTGGGTAATTAACCAAATTGAGTGTATTTCCATCAAACATCAGGCCTGGACAAGAGTCCAATTTGAGAAACTGAGGCAATGAAATAGAATGTTCGGACCCAGAATTTTAATCTCAATATTCACACAGAATCTCAGACTAATCATATATGCCAAAGGGATCTAAATATTGCCATTATTATCTCTTGTTGCATGGGCAATGGAAGATTTCTCTTTAGGCAGGGCAAAACCTAGCCCCCAAAACAACTGGCTTCCATTTTTCTGATTTTTAACCCACACTGTTTCGGGAAGATGTGATGTCTATGGAGATATTTTTCATGGAATGCAGAGGACGGCTTTGTATCACTATGCGTGTAGCCTTCATCAGTGTTAATCAGGCCTCCAGGGTAAAAATCTCTGCATCAGTAGGAATATCTATCTCCAAGTATTAGATATGCCTCTGACATATTTCCCTGTATATCTGAATCACTTATCAGGAATACTTCATGGAGTAAATAAATTTAGAAAGAAGAAACACTCCTTCTTCAAATGTGATGAGTTGAATAATCCCAGGCAGAGTGGGATCAATATTAGTTTCTTAGAGCTACATGTTAGCTCCTTCAGGGTAAACACTCTGTCACCTAATTTATTTATATGTCCCCTCCTACATCCCCTTGCAGCACACAATAGACTGTTTTAAAAACAGCTTTTATCTCCCACCTGCCCCATGTAATTATATTACCAAGAAATGCTGGCATTGAATTTCTGTCCTCTACTTTTGAATCAGATGAAACACCTGTGCAGCCACTAAAAAAGCAAATGGACTTAGTTTGGGGCCATTCAAGTTTGGGCCTGTGCAAGTACAATACCAAATGGCAATATACACCCACAACCTGGGGAACTGTAGAACTCATGAATCAGATCTGGACACGCCCTCTGTTTTGTTATGGAGGTTGCTGTGGAGATGACTAAGTGTGAGAGGCAGGGAAGTAGCAGCTGAAGAAAGGGGTAATATTTTGGAATGGTCAAGCCTTAATTTTTATAAGAAGACTTAAAATTTAAAGATGTGATCAACATTGTTACATATATACAGATATCACTGCTATGTAACCAAGAAAACCAGAGAAAGGATAAAAAGAAAAATCCAAATTAAAGTCCAGATATCTTAAACTATTGGTCATGAAATCAGGTAATTTAACATGTTTCTTGGGAAAAATGTTATATTCATATCTGGATTCCTAAGATGTGGCACGAGCCTAACACCCACAGTTAACTAAAAAAATACTTGCTGAACTGAATTATTTTGGAGAGGTAATGTAGGTAGCACAACTCCTAATTCTGTTTTCCAACGGTTCATTTATGAAAATTATTAGAACAGGAGGGCCTCAACTCTAGAGATACACTGTATTTTGCACTAGCACTCAGAAATATTTATTGAATGAATGAATGGATGAATTAATGAGTGAATAAAAACTTGGTGTCGAAGTTCTGGTTAGCCTGGATGAATCTAACCTCCAATGTTATTAAAGCCTCATGTAGTACACTATTTTCTAATAATCTGGAAAAAAGTCTGTCCACCAGGCCACAAGTTGCTTTCCTTCTACACAACTGAGCTCCCAAAGACACAGGTCACACTCCAAAATGGAAAGGTCCTACCTATTATTATGTCCTTAGGTAATGCTAAAAATAGGAACCCACAGAACTTCCTGGATTCAAAGCCACTTGCAAGACACCACTCAGTCTTTCAACAAAATCTGAGAAAATGTAAATCATCTTGGGGTAAGAACTGGAAGGTTTTTTCTTTTGTTATATTATTCTTTTTCCACAAACCTTGAATTTCTCCAGAATTAGCAAAAGAAAATGTTTAATGGCTCACCTCTTTTTTTAAAGAAAAGAAGAAATAAATAAAGCAATCCAAAGAATCAACTAGAATATCTATTTATTTCTCTTAGCCTTTGCAGAAATAAGATCCTGACCCAACTCCAGCTTTTAATTCTATTAAACATACACAGAAATTCGATGATATCTGTTCTCTATTATATATATAATAGATATATATTATATATATCTATATATCTATTATATATATATAAATGTTTAACTTATAGCAAGTCTCAAAACAGATGACTTGGAAAAATTGGTAGGAAATAATCAGGGCCTGCAGTTGCCTGCTGGACATTATATCATATATAGCTCGCTATAAAGAAAGACCATAAAAAGATCAAAATGTATCTGGGTGCAAATGGGGAACACACTGAAGCATCAAGTTTCCAACTTTCAACTTCAGCACAGTAGATACATTTTGAAGCATCTCAGCCATTGACATGGCACGGCTCAGTACTAATTTTGTATTTTCTATGCTATAATACTGCACAATTTCTCTAAACGCACAATGAACAAAATTAGTATAAATATAATGCCATGTCAGCTGCTGCTGAAATCCCATGGAAGATTTTTTTTTTTTTTTTTTTTTTTAGTTGTTGTTTGGTTTTGGTTTCTGGTTTTATTTTGTTTGCCATGCAGACTCAGGACAATTCATGAGATTTAAATTATCTTTCTAGTGCCACTTTGGGTTCATGGTGTTTTGATGGTATTTCAGTACAGACACATTCATGACCCCACACCCTGTCAATTTCATAACTGCCAGTGGCTGCTGTACCTTTCTTGTTAATCTGGGAGTCTGATTGCCCAACTTAGGTGATACACCATGGTTTTTTCTTTAGTTATCAGGAAACGACTTTAAATTTCCCTGGGATCTTATCTGCTCCTTCCATGGGATTTGATGCTTTTGATTGTATCTTAATATTTATATATGTATGCTTATACATATATAGATATAGGAAATACACACATTAACACACTATAATATATATATAAAACACATGTATATTCACATATATGTATGTATTGTTTTTTGCAAATGTAAAAATAAAGCAAGCAAAACAAGACTGACCTAACCTACCTGTACTCGGCTCACATTCAACGAAGTCTTCGTCATCGCTTGAACATTCAGCAGATGAAACAAGGTCATCTGATGTTGGCTGTGCACGTCAAAGGAAAAATAATGGGGCAGGAGGAAGAGAGAGGAGAGAGAGAGAGAGATAAGGAAACCAATGAACAAAAGCATCAAAGACTTATCGCTATGCCTTCTTGCCTTCCATCATTATGACCGTTTCTCTTCTCTAGAGAGGGCATGCTGTAGGATAGAGGATTTTAAACTCTTGTGTGTCTGTGAATGGTTATGGGGTCAGACAACCTGTATGGGTTTTATGAGAAGCTGAATGACTCAGAGTGGTTCCAGGAGGTTCAAGACTATCCTATCCCCATAAGTAACATGGTACAGCCTAACTCTGTCCTGACTGTAATCTCAATGTTGAGAATCCAAAGGGCAGGAGAAGGGCAATGATGCAAATGGTGGACAATACAAGAGTGCAAGCCAGCACAGAAAGGCACTGAGAGTTTTGAGACGGTTTCAATGCATATGGTGTGTGGTCTCAAGTGTATGATTTGGTGGTTGTGAATCTATAGGCTGGCATAATTAATGAACGCTGTGGAATGCAGTCTGTTCAGAAACAGTATAATGGCTTTTCTCGCTAGCAGCGATCTCTTCATGTAATTGCTGCAATTAGCTGAATTAGTAATGTAGGCCAGCAGAGAAATACCACATGACAGCCTCTGGACACAGGTAGCACTGTTTCTGACGACAGCAGAAAAAATCTAGTTGCCACGATAGTAATTCAACTTGAGACACTTTCTTTTTTCTATAGGATCCTACAGAAACTCCCCAATGCCAGGGAATGTGCTGCAAGAAATACATAAAACTGTACATATGGGTGGTAAGAAGGGCCTTTGCGATACAGGAGACAAGAAGACTATTTTCTGTACCTGGTACATATTGCATGCACAATAAATACTATTGAATAATTAATCTACAGATCTTATGGCCTACTATGTGTGTAAGATACTCAATATATAGTAGTTGTTCAATAAATGCTCATTTCTTTCCCTTCTTGATATTAATAATATTAACTGACTTGCTGATTTTATTATTCCCAGTGCAATGAAGTCTGAATCCACATTAGAGAGGAAAAGCAATTACAAGCCAGATGCTGAGCTAGACATGTGTATATATTTATTATAGTTGTTATTAATTGATTAGATACAATTCTCACAACAATCCTTTGGGACAAATATAATTATTATACTTTTAAGGAGAACTGAAGTTCAGAGAGGACACATGGCTAGTAAGAAACAGTGAGGATTTGAACAGATACAGCTTAGTCGAAGTCTGCACTTGCGGCTCACATAGGCTTCTTTTACATCTCTTCTTACATGTTAATTACGGACTAAACTATGTCCTCCAAAATTAATACCTTGCTGTTTTAAGCCCCCCAGTAACTCGGAATATGACCACTATTTGTTGATAGAGTCTGTGTTAAAATAAGATTAGGGCAAGCCAAATCAAATATGACCAGGGTCCTTAACAAAACGATGAAATTAGGACACAGACAGGCACAGAGGGATGACTGTGTGAAGCCACAGGGAGAAGCAGCCATCTGTAAGCCAAGGAAAGAGTTCTCAGAAAAAAACAACAACCTGCTGACACCCTGACCTTGAACTTCCAGCTCCCACGACTGTGAGAATATAAATTTATGTTGTTTAAGCTACTCAGTCTGTGCTTTGTTATGGCAGTCCTAGCGAAGAAAGGAACATGACAACCCACATGCTTTGTATTTCCAGATAACATCCTTTTTGATACACACACTAAGCACAGAATTACTGGGCACAAGGAATAGCAGAAAAACCACACTAGGTAATTGATTTCACTTAATTGACAGTGGTAGAGAGGTGCCTTAAACTATGTTATTGATCTTTATTCTACATTTGACAGGGGGATACTTCAACCCCTGCTCCTCCTTCAAGTTAATAGAAAAAGAATTTTCAAACATACCTTTTTTTTTTTTCAATTAGACACTACTGAAGTGTGCATTTCACTTCCAGCAAATCGAAACTGGCAGTTGTGTTCTAGAGCCACCATTATTTGTATTAGAGAAATGGTGAGCACACCTCCTTGGAGTTTCTTGCTAGGCTTGGGCCCTGTGCAGATCCACTTTCAGTTATTTAGGGAAGGGAAGTGGTAAGGGAATACATGTTAACTTTGCAAATGTAGAAGGCAATCATAAGAGGCAATCAGCATTTTTGGAAGGGTAAAAATCATTCTTTGATAGTTCTAAAGCATGAGTTGTCCATGGAGGGAAGACCTCCCTCAAGGACGCAAAAATTGTTTTGGGTGTGTAGGGTGCATGGATCTTAGGTGTTAAAATGGCTTCTGACCTGTCAAAAGCCTACAGTACTTAAACAAATATACGGTATATCTGTGGTATTAAAGTTTTATGGGAGAAAGGCAATTAGGAAAAAACAAGATTGTCTAAAAAATTCCTTAGAGGATGGTAGTAAAAAAGATGTCTAGAATACATTTCAAAAGTATAATCAATTGGAAATTAATTGTTGATGACTTCATTATTAGGACCTTGCAGAATGGCCTGTATATGGCATAACTAGCTTAGGTTCCTACTATTGAGTGCAGACTAGTGAGTTAAATGAAAATCTAGTGAACTCATCTCAAGAACTGAAAGCCAGGCAATAAAATTTTAAAAAGTCACTGAGAAATGTAATAACTCCATTATGCAATGCATAACTCCAATAGAAACCAAAAAAGGCATTAGTGAAACATTAGTGGAAACTTTCAACAATTCTAAGAAAGTTATATTCATTTTGATTAACCAAAGATATGATAGAGTTTCTTTTCAGGAAAAGTACTAGACTCTGAGGTTGAATGATATTTACTATTTTCCTCTCAGCTTCCCCCTGCCTCCTCTAATTCGACACAAGTTCTCCCCCACCACCATGTTTTGGGTGACACTGTCCCTAGCACTCTCTTTCCCTATCTCCACCTCCACCTGTGTCCCCCAAATGGGGTTCAACCACCCCTGTAGAACACACACATATGCTCTTCCACATTTTCATTCCCTTTCTCCCCAGTAAACTGAAGCTGTGTCCCACTTCCCAGATATTTGACTTCTGCTGATCTTTTATATGAATATGGATGAATATAATATTCTTCCGGAAACAGAAGTACATTTTTCCAGTAGCTCCTGTTAATGATGGCTAGACTTCAAGGAGGGTCCACGACAGGCAGTCTAGCAGACCACGGAATGAGCAGGACTGACTCTTCACAGAGCATAGCTGTGACTCTCAGCTCCAACACTTATGGTCAGTGACCAGGGGTTGAGTTACTTCCCTTCTTCAAACTTCAATTTTCCCATCTATAAATTGGGATAGAGTGTCTTGTTATCAATTTAAGTCTAATGTTAAAAGTGAAGCTCTATTCCTGGCATATGGCATAAGCTCAGTAAGTATAAGCAGGGTGCCTGGGTGGTTCAGTTGGTTAAGTGTCTGACTCTTGATTTTGGCTCAGCTTATGATCTCATTGTTATGAGATCGAGCCCCGTGTCAGATTGTGCTGACAGCAGAGTCTGCTTGGGACTCTCTTCTTCTCTCTATCTGCCCTTCCCCTGCATGTGTGTGCACACTCTCTCTCAAAATAAATAAACTTTAAAATAAATAAATAAATAAATGTTAGCTAAAACTAAGTCAATCAATCAATCAATCAATCAACAGCAATGCGAAGCCTAGTTGCCATTCCTAGTTTAAAGTTTCCATCCACCTATGCATTTCTATCTTCAACGATTCATCCCCTTTAGAACTGTTCTTCATTGCTGATAATTCATTATTTCCACTTTCATTCGTCGCCTCTCGTTGCATCTGTCATGAAGAGTGATAAAGAAAAATACACTCATAGAGATGCCAGGATAGCTTAAAAATCACTGGAAGATAATCTGTTTCCCATGGCTCTGGGTCCAGACAATCTGTGTGGGTTTTATGTGAATCCAGCCCCTTCCTTTCTGTCCCTCAGACCTCATCATCACCAATTACAGTCCCTGCCAATGAAATTCCCAAAGCCATTACAAACATCTCAATCCCCTCATTGCCCAATGCAGTAACCAATGTTTGCCTGGAGAAACTGGCATCCAACACTACCACGCCTGCCACAGAACACTGTGGTTTCAGAAATACTTGCTCTGCCAGGGGCAACAAGCTTTGATTTGCAAAGGACTCAGGATTTAGAACACTATATTTAGGGATTAAAAAAATTTTTTTTACTATTCCTATCCCTGACATATAAAAAAATCTCCAAATTACAAACCAAAGCTTTTGGATGATACATACTTAGAATCACATTCTAAAGTAATGACAATTTGATTCAAAATTACTCTTGGGAAAACCCAAGGTTTTCTTTTAGTAGCTCTTTAATTTTCTTGTCTATGCCTTTCCCTACGTATAAGTAAATGCAAGGTCTAACTCTGGACTTTAGGGAAAAAGGCACAAGGTTTTTGTGCCTTTTTTTTTTTTGACTATTGGGTTCACAAGGCTGGTGAATTATATTTCACTATTGCAGACACACACAGACTCAGGATATAATTATTATGAGTAGAATGGAACTATGGAATTTTGTTTTTAAATAAAATACATTAGCCCTAGTTTGTGTGTGTGTTTTCCTAAAATCATAATCATTTTTCATAATTACTCATAATTCCTTAGAAGAAAGAAAAGTCAGTACTCTTTAGAAGAAAAAGATATTTGAACTTTCTAGAATCATGCCTATTAATAACATTTACCACTTATTAAATATTTGCTATACTCAGATGTCAGCTAAGAGGTTAACACATATTAATACTTTTAGTACTCATAATAACCAAGGGGGTGGACATTTGTAGTGACATCTGCTATTTTTAACTGCCCACCACCCATGCTCCTTCAGGGAACAGTATTGCTTTAGCAAGTTCTTTCATTTGTATAGTTATGCTGGGAATGTTTATCAGGGGCCTTCTATGTCATCCTCATATTTTTTCCTCACAATGATTGCTTAAAACTCTCATAATTCCCAATGCCTGAGCTTAAGGTATTGACATATTATGGT